TACACTGCTAAATTAGGGACGGCTAGCGCAGATAGCCCTCGTGTAGCTTCGCGCGAAATTCATAATAAGCCAAACCAAACTGATAACGGAATTGACTGTCACTTTATAACGCGCCCACATCTTGATATGCTATTCACTAGGCCACGCCCGACACTTCGCTATATTGAAAACTGTTTATGTAGAAACTCCAGCAACAGAATATCGGCGAAAATAGTTAATTTCTACAAAACGCAGTTAGTTATCAAAAGAAAAGCCCTAATATGTTTATTTAGTTTCACTAAAGATAATTTGCTTACGTCACACTTTGGAATAATTTTTAAAAAAAGACGTTTAATTGTACGTCAAGTTATGATAAATCAAAAGCATCGTAACGTTTCTCATGAAATACTCGGTACTCGTTTAGTTGTATGTATTATCTATAATGGATTAGGCTTGATAAACTTGTGAGTTCGGAGATGGTTGCTTGCGGTGAAAACAGGAAATAACCCATTACCAACGACGCTTTCCACCTTTTTAATGCACGCGTATGATTACCGCAGTGTTGTTTGTCTTCAGTACGTATTGGAATTGTAGATAAAAACTATGGTAACCTAGTACTGACTGCAAATAAAGAACGGTACATTCGCTTTATAAGGCTTAATTACTTCTAGGTGTTTTTTTTTTTTTTTACGTCAATTCAATGTGGACAACATTCTTTAAATTTTGATAAGGTGATTGTTGTTGTTGTTGTTGTTTTCAGTAAGTATTTATTTTTTTTACTTTAATAATACGAGTACATGCTTGCACATTCATTAATTAGTGTTGTCGTTGTTCGAAGGAAAGAAAAAGACAACAACAACAATTGATAACTTAGAATATGGTTTTCAGTTTCACGAGATTGCGTCAGCCGGAATTGAATCTCGAGGTGTGAGTTTTTATTTCGACTTAGCTTTGTTTACTGGGGGGGCTTTTAGAAGAAGTTTTCATGCTATACGTTACAGTCGTAAGCCTAACCTTTTCTCCTTTCAAAAGGAAAATTTCAGTTTGTTTTTGTAGTCCTCAGTGAGTCAGCGGTAAGTTTACGGACTTACAACGCAAAAATTCGGGGTTCGATTTCCCTTGGAGGACAATACGCAAATAGTCTACTGTGCACAGTAGATTTCCACTTAAACTTTTTTTACTTTTTTCTCTCTCTCTCTCTCTCTGGTAGCCCCCCCCCCCAGTGGCACAGCGGTATATCTACGGACTTACAACGCTAGAATCCGGGTTTCGATAGTCCATTGTGAAGCTTTGTGCTTAATTACAAACAAACTAACTTTCTGTAGCCCTCTATTGACGGCTGTAATAATTTCCCAGTGACACTGTTGTCTCAAATAATGCGCTTGTTACCTGTTTTATGGCATAAATTACACAAGAAATGGGTGGATACAAATTAAGTTACTAACGTTCTGTCTCACCTCTTTCCAAGTATATTAGTATGTTAAGATTACACACTTTATTTGAACATTTAAAGGTAAAAGGTATATTCTTTTCAACCTATAACAACCGTTTTGGAACGTGATGATCAAATTATATTTCTCCCTCGTTACAGTAATCAGCGTTATTTTGATATTGTATTTAACATTAGAAGCCTTCTCACAACTTGTTTGTAGTTGTGGGGGAGCTTGAGTGGCGTGTGTGTGTGTGTGGGATGGTTTTTGTTCTTGTTCATATAAACAAAACTTAACCCCCACCCCCAGTGGCATAGCAGCATGTCTGCTGAACAACGCTACGGGTTTCGATACTCATACCCATCGTGTAACTTTGTGCTTATCTTTAGCCCAGCATAGCCAGGTGGTTAAGGCACTCGACTCGCAGTCTGAGGGTCGCGGCTTCGAATCCCTCTCACACCAAACATGCTCGCCCCTTTCAGCCGTGGGGGCGATATAATGTGAAGGGTCAATCCCACTATTCGTTGGTAAAAGAGTAGCCCAAGAGTTGGCGGTGGGTGGTGATCACTAGCTACCTTCCCTCTAGTCTTACACTGCTAAATTAAGGGCGGCTAGCGCTGAAGCCCTCGTGTAGCTTTGCGCGAAATTCAAAAACACAACAAACAAATGCTTATCTTTAAACAAACTTGCTGAATAATCTTACAAGTATTATTTACTAGCTCATAGTGTGTAAGTCCGATGCAAAAAAAGAAAAAGGTTGTTTTCAGTCTAAAGGCATACTTAATACTAAATGATAGGTGAGAAAGGCTATTTTTATATCAAAAATTGAAAGTTAAGAGATTATACCGGCC